TATCCCAGTGAGACGTGGGACCAAGCGCAGCCAAAATAAACGAACAACTGACAATAGAAAAGGAGAGAGTGAATGAACCTCCTTTATCCCTACGAAGCTCTTCGGTCGCTGTGTTGCTTGTCGAAAGAGGGCCCCTCTGGTACATTTAGCAAGGTGCGGAACGCTCGCGGTCCGCCATTCGCAATATCAGAGAGCTGCAAGAGTAATGCTGCAGCCGACCGTCAAGCATACGACCACCCAAGAGCGGGTACCGGTTGCTGTCTAGCCCCGACCCCGCCCCCCTCACTCTTCCACCACCACCACCCCGCATCAAACTCAACTCGACCGAGCGGGCTGGAAGTCGAGGCCTTGCTGACCTGCACAGCAAGCCGCGGCTTCTTCCAGAAGAGATTGTTCGACATCCACTGAGTCCCGAGCCTGCTGACCTGCACCGTCAAGCCGACGGCTCTTTCAAGAATAGATTGTTCTTACAATCCACTGAAGCGAGGCCTGCTGACCTGCACCAGCCATCCGATGGCTTCTTTTCAAGAAGGATTGTTCCGACATACACTGAGTTGCTCCGGAAACTTGCCACCAGCATACGTCAGCTACAACTCTGGAGCGATACCCCTCCCTGTAATGAGCATCCCAGGTCTCTCCTCTCGCCCGTAGTGAAAGTCTAGCCCCCCCCACTCTTCCTTCTTCCTTCCTCCTCCTCCTTCATCCCTCGTCTATTCCAAAATGGCTGGGCCCTCAACGCACCATGTGGGCAGCTCCTGCCCTCATTGGAGGTCACCTCTCCCCCTCTCGGAGTATCGCCACAAGCACCGCCGCAGCATCCGTACGCCTGTGGGGGGCTCAGAAACAATGTTGATGGGCCATCGGTTGCAACTAAGACTGGTACTCACATCTGGACAGCGTGAGACAACAAGTTTTCATTGTTATCTACCCGCATGTCCACTTTTCAACAATTGTCAAGAACAGGTTGGTAGTTGAGCGATTATGTGCATGCAAAGACTTTTTTTTGCATTCTGATACTAGTCTCATGCATGAACTGACACTAACCTCCTTCAGGTGTTTGTTGGTGTCCGTGGGGGGTGGGGGGGGGGGGGGGGAGGGGGCAATATTTACAGGTAGGGTATGGGGACTGGAAACATAGAGAAGGTGGGTTGGGGGGGTGGTGGGTGTGTGAAGCGTTAAGGGGGGGAAGAGAGGGTTAGGGGGGGTGAACATACATTTGGTATATAATGAGCATTACAGGTATACTGCCCTCTAAATTTGGAAAGACAACCGTCTCACTACATATTTGTGTGTGTCATATCCACCAATAGTTTAATGTGGGCAGTGCCGTTGTACTTACATTACCTCGTCTTTCACCCCTTACACATGAAGATACGAAATACCAGAACCTAGTACTTTTGCGCGTCTGCTCTCCAAACTATTACCCACTTGTTACTCTAACCACACTCGAAGTACTGTCAGTAGTGTCTCATCACTCTATCCCTTCGTTTTCTCCACTCTGGGGCTGCGGTTAAAATGTGTCTTGGTGTACTACTGCGACCAATCACACTAACTTGAGTGAGGTGTAGTTTGTACTATTTCGGGGTATTATAGGCCTCTGCTATCAGGTTCCCTCCAATCCAGCCGAACAAGTGTTTTATCTGAATTTGTGGTGTACTATCTTTTGCCCACTATTGTGCTTGTGGTACAATTAGCAGTTAGCCCTATAGCATGACTAAAAAGGAAAGAGACAAGATATGGATGATATGATATTGAACGGATTGTGGACATCTGGCCTGACACTCGGATTTTTAATATTTCTTGTATCTATAAAAGTGATCAAACTCCCATAATAATCAATGGTGAGGTCTCAAGGTGACCTCCAAGTTTTTGAGGTCCGAGTGCTCAATTTAATCGACCTTCAACGAGGAAAAGGACCTATGGTATGGGCATTTGACACCACTTGATCATATGTGGCGTCTCAAAAGTGTCGTCTTGTCATGTGGATATTACATAATATTCAAGTAGGGTTGCATCAACAAATGATTTGGTTGTGATAATTATGCTGGACACTACACACTTTCATGGTGAGGCAAAAACAACACAAACTACACACTACATGGGTCACCCACAAAATTTGATTAGTGGAAGAAGTTTTCATGTTGCTGGACAATTTCACACTTTGTATGTGCTAACAACCATCTAAGGATGTGTTATAAATGCGAGCTAAATTGACAATTCCCATGCCATAAGGTAGGGAAGGTCAGTTTTTTTAAGTCACATTTCACTTGTGTAGGTCAACTGGGAGGAACCACAATGCCATGGAAAGTTTTGAGAAAAGCTCACCCTGGAGCTATATAACCCCATTGGTGAAACTCCCTGTACTGGGGAACGACAGGCTCTCCTTCCTTTGACCCTCTGGTTTCCTCGGGCTCTCCTTCCTTTGACTCTGCTTCCCTCGGGAAGCCCTGTGACTATAGAGTGTGGGGGTATACATATATAGTCTGGCGAGATAAAAATCGTTACCCCATGGTATACAGAACAATCATGAATAGTCACTTTTTCATGGCCACACTCGCAAAAATATGTGCAGCACTCTGGTTCCTCTGGCTCTCCTTCCTTGACTTCTGGTTACTCCTCTGGCTCTCCTTCCTTTTACCTGGTTCCTTCCTCTGGATCTCCTTCCTTTGACTCTGCATTGCTCTGGTCTCCTTCTTTGACTCTGCTTCCTCTGGGAATCCCTATGAACTATAGATGTGGGGGGGGATACTATATAGTCTACAGAGATAAAAAATGTTGACAGCCATGTACATAATACATCATGAATTCGTCCCACTTTTTACATGGCAAACATCTCGCAAAATTGTGCAGCACTCTGGTTTCCTCCTGGCTCTCCTTCCTTGACTCTGGTTCCTCTGCTCTCGCTTCCTTTGACTCTGGTTCCTCTGGCTCTCCTTCCTTTGACTCTGTTCCTCTGGCTCTCCTCCTTTGACTCTGCATTCTCTTCTCTGTCTCTCCTTCCTTTGACTCTGCCTTCCTCTGGGAAGGCCCGTGACATAAGAGTGGGGGTATACATATCTAGTCTCATAGTAAAAATTTGACAGCCATGTAACATCATACAATCATTAATAGTCCTTTTACATGGCAAACACTCGCAACAATTGTGCAGCACAATACGTGTAGGGGGGCCGGTATAAAATGTAACCCGTTTACAGCAGAGCCACTTCTCGCGACGACTAGCGACACCGCAACCCAGTAGGGAGCGTTTAGAGCAACACTGAACTGCAACACTCGTCCTCCGAGTAACTTCCTCCCTTAGTGTGTCTCAGGAAATATTGAGGTAAGCCAAAGCCCAAGCTCAGTTCATATACACACACATGCCCACCGCTGGGCCATGCAACACCTGTCCCCGGCCGTGCCAGTTTCTTGCTCTGAAGGCAGTCGTTTCATCACAGCAAAATCGCCGCACGCCCATTATTTTTGATGTTCTTGCAAGCACACTAAAGCGTATGGTATCACTGAATCTGTTTGGTAATCCCTCATAAGCCGTCTCGTATCGTAGTTTGAGAATCATCGTGAGGACACAAACACACACACACACACACAAACCGACCTCAGACCAAGTACCCGTAACTCTCGCTTACTGTGCGGCGAGGGTTTATCATAAACTTTTGCAACAAACCGCTGAAATAATGTTGTTAAACATGCACAGAGAGGTGTTACACAGGGAAAAAACAAGTGTATGTACCTACCAACACTGAAATCCACGTACATATACTTTTATTGTGATTAACAAGGTGCATACAACTATATAGTAGAGGCCTCCTGGTGGGGGAAGGTTACCCTACATTTCTGTGACCAACATAGGACGGAATCACCTACTTACAGCAGCATTGACCAATGGAATGGCTCACAAGGGCCTGCGTTCCTCCGTCCAATATCAACCGCCTAACAGAGGTACTAATACGATAAGGGACAGATCTCCAAACACTCACTGTGTGAGGATTGATGGCTCAGCTGATCTGGCATTCTCCTCCTCTTCTCTCCTGCTCTCAGTTCCTTCCAGTTCCAGTTCTACTTTTCTCTCTTTCTCTGCCTTCTCTCTCGTCTCTCTTCTACGTCTCAATCTCTCTACTCTTCTCTCTTCGTCTCGCTCTCTCTCTTCTCTCTCTCTTTTCTCTATCTTCTCTCTCTCTCTTACTCTCCAGTCTCTGCTCTTCTCTCTGTACGTTCTCTCGTTCTTACTCTCTTCTCTTTTCTCCTTCTCTCTCTCTCTCTCTTTACTCTACTCTTCCTCTCCATGCTTCTGTCTCTCTCTCTCTCTCTTCTGGTGGTGGTGGTGGTGGTCTAGTGTGATGGATGGCAGTGATACATAATCATTACCACATCTGAAACAAACTGTCAAGAACCACCAAGTGCTACTTGACTGCAACAAAATTACATTTTGGGTAAGAAAGCACAGGAAAATGAGAGCCACATGTTAATTTCTCTCCTCTCTTGCTATTCTCCGCTATATGCTACACATACTTTTCATGTGAATAAGTTTCAATTCTGTTTCACTTATTGCTTACGAAAGTAAATTAGGGCTTGCCACATACTACAGTATATACTGCCAACTTTCACAATGCATAAATAGTGTATCAACTTACTTATAAGAGTCTTCTGTGACCCCTGGAAGGAAGAGAATTTGGAGCAATACTATAGAGATATACACAAACAGAATCTCAATAGTGCCTGACAAGACATTAGCAAACAAGCAGACTATTGCGAAATTTCGTTTCATTACGGTGGGCCACATCACCCTCCATATATAGGGAAAAGTCGCCCGTTGGCCACTAGGTCAGGCTCGCTTTGCTCGCTAATGACATCATGCATGTGATGGAGTGGCTAGGAGTGGCTATCAAAACTATGCAAGTCAGCAGCTATGTACATTCTCAGCAAAGGCCCCACACACTTCACTCACCTGTGCTAGTGATGGGGTTACTAGCAATGGATCTGCCTTTGCGTCTCAGTCCCAGCACCACAGCCACACATATCACTGCAACCAACAGTAGAACTACCAGAACACCACCTAACACTCCTAGAGACAAATAAGAATGGGTCAGTTTAGTTCTAGGTGAGGGTTAGCTAGGTTGAAGACACGAAACAGCCCTAGAGAATATGTTGACTAAACCAGCAAAGGTCTGAAACACACAATCTTGGCAGCTTACCAATCACAACTACTTCAGTCTGACTACTGTGAACTGTAGGACCATCAGTAGTAATGGAGGATGCTGCAAAAATCAAATATGAAGTGCAAGTGTGTGACCGGTCGAGGTAAGCCATTGGTTATTAGCATAATAATTTGTCTAACGTTCGTGTTTCACGGCATATGTAACTCTCGAACGCAGCCATTTCAAGAAATCAACATTTTATACCCTTGTACCACTGAAGCTATTGGTATTGCTCACAAGCCACCTTGTAGCCCCGTATATAGTGCAAGAATAGTCATAGACAAACACACATACACATTTACCAAGTACTGCAATCTTCGCTGCCCATGTGCACCGAGGGTTAATGATGTGTTAGCTACACGTACCAATTTCGAGGTTAGGACGAGAAGTTGAAGTGAGGTTAGGACGAGAAGTCGAAGTACCACTGGCGAGGTTAGGACGAGAAGTTGAAGTGAGGTTAGGACGAGAAGTCGAAGTACCACTGGCGAGGTTAGGACGAGAAGTTGAAGTGAGGTTAGGACGAGAAGTCGAAGTACCACTGGTGAGGTTAGGACGAGAAGTTGAAGTACCACTGGCGAGGTTAGGACGAAAGGTGGGAGTTGTGAAGTTAGGGTTAAAATGGGGTACAAAACAGACAACTCTACCACGAACCCATTCCATACTTCGATCCTCTAGTGCCTGCAGGAAGGTGGGGACTAGTGAAAATAGTCATTAATACTTTTCCAACAGGAAATAATTGCAGCTAATTCAAGATAACTTTTACCGGGCCCTTCAGAGGGAAAGTAGGACATATCAACGTAGCTACACCTCGTAGCATTCTAGCTACTTAAGTGCAGCAGAGTAAACCTTTCACCCTGGCAAGATACACAGGCCCACATGGTTCATACTGAACATTTCCAGTTCCTTCCCATAGAGAATGTATGGGCTTGCTAGAACAGCTTGCTGTACCAAAACAAAGTGGGATCCGGAGCAGGTTTGCAGCCGAATAGATGTAACCCGTAAGTAGTGTACTAAAAATTTGGCGATCCCCGACCATTCGGCAAGTTATAGCGAAGAATACTATAAGCTCTGTGACACCAAGAGCATGTGCCCTAGAGCTAAGCTAAACGTGCTCTACCTTAGCTTGGCCTCTTTTACAACTCTCCGTCTGGTCTCAAGTGGATCTTTAGCTGTATCATGTATCGTATATAATAATTATATATATATATATCGCTAAGCAACTGCTGCACATGTGCTACCTCCTCTGATGGTGGGCTAGCCACCAAGGGAAGCTGGTTGTGTGGGACAGACTTGGTCCATCTGCAACATGCCCACAACCACACAGCACCTTTGATCACTGGTGGGTACACCCAAAGCCACAGCTCAGGGAAGAAGTAGTGCACACTACACACAGTGTAACTCTAGAATTCCTAGTGATTGTCAAATAACCCCTCAGTAAATAAAACCAAGGTATCACTATATGCATGTCTATTGTATTGTAACATAACAGACACAGAAATATAATCCTCGAGGGATGATCTTTGCTGATGGTTGAAGGCGTTTTCGAGAAGAGAGAATGCTCGCTCGGCCGCTGCGGAAGACGGCTGCACTAGCAGAAGTAGTTGGAAAGCGTTAGCCTCACTGGTCCCGATGTCACTCGTGCTGCTAGTAGTAGCCATGCCTGCTTATGCCACGTCATGTGAAATGTTCTAGCAAATTCCCACCTGGACTGCACGCATGCGCATACGCACACATAGCTAATTTATAACCTATTATTCTCACTGAGCTATAATTTTTTGCTGATTATTCCAGCATAATTCCAATAAGCTAATTACCCCTATTATTCCCAAAATTATGCTGGCATAATGTGTCAAGGCCTAGTCCTCAGAAGGTTCACTGTATTGTATGTGGCACAGGAGGGAGAGAGGGTGAGAAGTGATGGACGCCACTTACAGTCCGCGGTGTGTCCCTACAAGGAGGGAGAGGGTGGGATGTGGGAGGAGGGAGAGGAGGGGGAGAGCAGGGAGGAGGAGACAAGGCTACTGCTGAGGTCGCGACGCAGGAAACAGTTTCGAAGAACACTCCTCAAATACCTCTTCTAATGTTTCATCTCCATAGCTACACAACTTTTGTATACATCTATTTGTACAGAGGGTTTTGATAGAGACACTGAACACAGGGCATTGTCTGTACTACTGTCTGGTGTATGTTTGTATGTCTATACTTTGATACCGGACATGTAGAGGCACTATTATTCAGCACTGTTATTATACAATCACTGTTTTCTTCCATCCTCTTACATTATGTTGGTTAATGTGTGGAGGCAGTGCGCAAGACAGTGTTTGCGAGATACAATCTGAAACTATGAATTCACTGAAAGAGTGTGTGGACAATGTATACAGTGTGGTACATGGACGTAGGCACTACTACACCTCCTTTGGTATGTTCTGCATGCAGCAGTACAACTGGACATTTGCCATATTGAAGTGCAATACAGTACACTGTGTGCCGTTACTTTTGACAAGTGAAAACACAAGTATCAACGATTGCATCATCAATTGTACCACAATGAAAGGTTCTCTGTCAGTCACGGTGCTAGTCTAGGAGGCAGTGATGACGGTAGTGCTCCGGACCACTCCCAGATGGTTGCTGGCCTCACATGTGGCGATGGTGTCCCCGGGGGGCAGAGGAGGGTGGAGGTAGAGAGACCCTGTGGCAAGAGGCGTGGCCTGGACACTACGGCCGTCAACTGGCTCTCCATTCAAGAACCACACCACCTGCAGGGAGACGCTCTGTTTGAATCTGACAACTGCAAGAATTGCATACTAAGGCCATGTTACTCCATGAAACTCTATGCCCCATGGGATGCTGGTTTGAAAGTGCCCTATAAGCTCCATGAAATTATAGGATGCTGGTTTGTACCCGATAAAAAAAACCTCAAGGGCTAAAACAGCATAATAATATGGTGGTACAGCATGATGCAGAAAGGCTATAATATTATTATATTATTATGCTACTGTAACATGGAGGAATGAAAAGGCCACGTGATACACAATGTAACTTTGTTGTTGTGAGACACAGTTGCATGCAACTACAAATGATAGACCATGCAACGGGCTGCATGAAATATATAGTGTCATGGTCAAAGAATTGTGACAGTTATGCCAGGCTAACTAGTGGTTTTGGGTTGCCAGTAGTTTGACAGTACAGAGCCAGAGGATCATATCTTGACAGACTGAGACTTGGGGTTTGGTTGATAATGGTAGGGGCCACTAGAGGAGGGAGGAGAGGGAAGGGAAGTAGAAAGAAGGAAAGATGGAGGAGAAGATGGAGGAGAAGGAGATGAGGAAGAGGAGAGAGATTGCTAGAAAAACAATATCGTATAAGAAAAAATGACAATATAATGTTATAGAATTCTTGTGTGCTTGGTAAGAGACTCATATGTCTACCAATGGTAGTTAAGAGGCATCATGGTAAGAGACTCATATGTGTCTATAAGACGGTCATGATGTAACTCACCGAGGACATTGAGGAAGACATTGAACGTGCTGCCATTGTAAGTGCAGGTATACTCTCCCTGGTGGGCGGACTGTACTGTAGTGAAGAGGAGGCGGGCTCCAAATGGGATGATGGAGGGGGAGAATGGGAGGGGGCGTGTCCCCTGAGTCCACCGCACGTTGGTGCTGTGGGCGGAGTCTGGGACTCCACAGGATAGTTCATACAGAGCCTCTCCCTCCACCACTGTCAGAGTGGTGTCGATGAGGTAGTCTGTATGGAGACAGGGGAAACAGTTCAAGACATTCTCCTGGATATTGACTCACTCCTTCTAAAAGCTTAAGCCTTGTTTTGCCTGTTTATTGGCGCACTGAAAGTTCATATGTGCGGAATGTGTGGAATGCGGGAGTCGATACACGCCCTCGGTTGAGACACAGAGTACGCAGAGCAAGCACATCTTGCCGAGGCAAGCCAGTGCTAATTTGCAATTGGCTTGTTCACTTGGTTCACGCCATAACTTTTGATCGCAGTGTTTTTACGAAAATCGCCAGTTTTAAAATGAAGCAAATGTAGCGCCGCACCCGTTGGTGTAAAGTTTTGGCGATCTTGTTGGGTCTAGTGGCAGAAAACGTGAACGGACACACAGACACACCGACCAAGTACCGTAACCCTCGCTGCGCATGCGCGCCAAGGGTTAAAATCCATTGTCTGTGCACAGAGTGCTCACGACACTCTATTAGTGAATATAAGAAAAGCGAACGTTTTGGATCTCAAGGTGTGTCCTTTAGTCAGAGTGTCCTTTACAAAACGTACACTAGGTGCATGCTAGAACCTCTGATAAAGGACATCTGAGGTTCAACAGTGTTTAATTAGTTGACTCACTCCAAACGTTGAGTTGCCCCGAGCGACTGGTGATTTCTCCCAGCTCATTCTTGGCCATGCAGAAATAGAACCCCTCCTCTTCAGGTCGAAGGTCAGTTCCCGTGGCGATATCACCACTCTCTCACTGGGGAACAGCTGAGGGAGGAAGTAATAATGTAAGAGCTTAGTAGACCATTGAACATATTGTTTGGTTGCCATCGGCAACATGTTCTCTGCAAAAATCTATCCAGAGTCATGGCTATTCTATGGTTCCATCGAATACTCTGGTCAAATACTTATGAACTAACGTTTTAGTTGCCTCCTTTAATGCAAAATATGACTACTGAAGAAGGCAGTAGCAGCCAAAAAACATTTGTCATAAGTTCTTTTACCGGAGTATTCAAACAAAAGTTGCCTCCCTGGTCACGAGGACTGACAATTATGAAGAAGCAACCCAAGGACTACTATTTTGGTAGATACTATTTTGCATGTGTTGTGAAGTGTAATCAATATTGTAAACCACTCACGAGATAGTGGTGGACATAATGGAGTATTGGGGTACTGACCCAAGTGACTGGGGTATTGGGGTACTGAGTGTGACCCCAGTGAATGGAGTATTGGGGTACTGACCCCAGTGACTGGGGTATTTGGGGTAGACCTCATTGACTGGGGTATTGGGGTACTGACCCCCAATGACTGGGTATTAGGGTACTTACCTCAGTGACTGGAGTATTGGGGTAGGGGTACGTACCTCGGTGATAGGGGTATCAGACTCCAGAGGGGTCCTGAACCAGGAGAGGACAAGGTTGGGTCCTCCGACTGCCTCACAGTGGATCACAGCCGTTTCCCCGGACTACTTGGTTTGCAAGTGTGTGTTTTTTTTCTTTTTGCAATGTGCAGACGTAGGCTGGAGTGCCTGGGATTGGCCAGCCCATCAATTAGCAGTGTGGTAATTGGCAAACGAAGCGAGTCTAACTAGTCATCCGAATTTGGGGACTTTCTATGTGACGGGCACTGCACAAATCGTAATGTTACGTGATTCTAAATACGCACAAATGAACTGCTCGTACTCGCTCGCCAGGATTAGTTCTAGTGACACCAGCCAGTATGCATATGGTGTTGAGTTAGTGGCGTGTTGGATCTTTGTTGCTTTCATTGATCAGTGTGTATGACACACTGGGGAATGTGATTGACACATTGGTGATTGGTCAGTCCTACAATCAGACCACCTGTTTCAGTATTCTCACTAGAATCTCCAAATAAGGTCAGGCATGCAATAGTGTGTAGATCTAGGATAGTGAATATTGGTATATAGAGTGACAGAATAAAAGTCAAGGGCTGTTTCCTGTCAACCTCAGTTTCACCCATTTCTTGGAGTTAGCCCACCACCCTTGCTTGTTTCTTTCTTCAACAGCTTGCTTGCCTCAGTTCCAACTAAACTTTATGGTCATCCGTGCACATTATAACAAATTTTCCGTATTTTGCGTAACTTTTCGTAGCGCGCTTGAACCCCCCGCTTGTCGTAATACTTGCCACGCCTTCTCGAGCGCGCTTCTCCTCCGTATTCTTCGATTGTTTCCCGTAAATGGTGTTCGAATTACGTAAAATTACGGATAAATCCGTTGAGTTGGAGCTAGACCCTCTCTCTAGCTTGTCTGCTGCACTACTGACAGAACCATGGCTACCAAACCCTCCACTGCTGCCGAGAAAGCTCTCCAGAAGATCCAGGACCAGGTCACCTGTGGGATATGTCTGGAGCCCTACAAACAGCCGAGGCTGCTCAAGTGCTTCCACGTGTATTGCGAGCAGTGCCTGCAACGTCTGGTACGTGGGGGACAAGAGGGGCAGAGTCTCCCATGTCCACAATGTCGCCAGGACACCCTACTGCCTGTAGGTGGAGTCTCGGGACTCCAGGGAGCCTTCTACATCCACTACCTCTTTGACATCCAAGATGCCCTCAAGAAAGTGAGCTCCAGCGAACAAACAATGTGCAACAAGTGCACAAAACGTGAGGCAGTTGGCTTTTGTCGCACTTGCGGGTTTGCATGCCAGCGCTGCAAGGAACTCCATCAGGAGTGGGAGGAATTCAAAACCCATGATTTTATTGACCTAAACACCTTGACTGGAGATGTCACCACCCTCGCTCCTCCTCTCAAGAAGACTCTCTTTTGTGCCACTCATCCGTCAAAGGAGGCAGACCTCTACTGCGAGACGTGCGACGAGTTGATATGTCGAGACTGCATCGTTCGTGTTCATCGTGACCACCAGTACGATCTGGTGCCCGAGTCATTTGCCAAGCAAGAGAAAGTGATCGTGGACTCTATCAAGCCAGTGGAAGAACAGATTGCTACGTTAGAAAGAGCCGTTGAGTCAGTGGACACTCAAAGTGCTGCAGTCGTAGGGCAGAAGAAGGCTGTGGTGGCAGAGATCCGGACTGCCATGGCACACCTGCGACAAGCTCTGGAGGTGAGGGAGACAGAGCTGGTGGGTCAAGCAGAGCAAACGGCACAGCAGATACTGAAGACCTTGGCAGCACAGCGAGAAGGGTTTGAACTGCAACTGGGCCAGCTGAGGAGCTGCCAGGACTTTGTGGAGGAGAGCCGACGTACTTGCAGCCAGGGGGAGATTCTGAGGATGAAGAGTCCTCTCGTGAAACAAGTCAACGACCTGACAGGTAGCTTCAAGCCAGAGACATTGGCTCTTGCAGAGCAAGCTGATATTGTGTTTGCTCACAGTCTGCCTGAGCTTGTGAGATCTTGCCAGTGTTTTGGTAAGGTGTACTGCAGTCAGGTATGCCCTGAGAAGTGTGGAGCCTCAGGTGAAGGAATCAAGGTAGCGACGAGAGGGCAAACAGTGGCTGTCTCTGTAGAGGCTTTAGATAGGAAGGGAGAAGCCTGCCTCAGACCTGTAGACAGCTTGAGGTGTGAGCTTGTTGCTAGCGATGGCAGCAGTCGAGTCAGGGGCACTGTGAAGAGAAGAAATCAGAACATCTACGACATCAGCTACCAGCCTCAGGTCACTGGAGAACATCAACTACACATTCTAATAGAAGAGCGCCCGATCTTGAACAGTCCGTTCACTGTCACCGTTCTACCCAACTTCACTGCCCCAGCCAACATCATTGGAGGCCTCAATGCACCAGTTGGTATAGCTGTCAGGGAGGGAGGTGAGGTTGTAGTAGCGGAACGGAGTAGTCACTGCATATCAATCATCAGTGGAAATGGAGAGAAGTTATCATTTGGTACGTTCAACTGGCCTGATGGTGTAGCAATAGACACTGGAGGAAACATTCTTGTGGCTGACTTTGGAAACAATCGTATTCGGCAGTTGTCATCCACTGGCAAACACCTCAGAACAGTCGGTACACCGGGCAGTGGACCTCTTCATTTCTGTCATCCTGGAGGCATTACAGTTGATCCTCACACTGGCAAGGTGTATATCGCTGACAAGGGCAACCACAGAATTCAGGTTCTGAACTCTGACCTCACATACTCCCGTAGTTTTGGTAGGAAGGGCTCTAACAATGGAGAGTTCAACTGGCCTCGGGACATAGCTACAGACAGAGATGGCAATGTGTATGTAGCTGATCAGAACAACCACAGAATCCAGGTCTTCACAGTCGATGGAGTCTACTTGAGGCAGTTTGGGAAGAAGGGAGAAGGAGAGGGAGAACTAAACCTGCCAGTCAGTATTGCTATTGACTCTGGCAATGTAGTGTATGTTGGTGAGGAGGGGAACAATCGTATATCAATATTCTCTACTGATGGAGAGTTTATCAAGTCATTTGGAAGAAAGGGAAAAGGTCCTGTGGAGTTTGATAAGCCATCTGGACTAGCAGTAGACAAGAAAGGAACACTGTATGTCAGTGACTTTGGGAACAATCGTATACAGATCTTCACCTAATAACACAACACAAAAACCCTCCTGTTCTTCTATATGTATAATACTTAGTTGTGTCTTTGTACTTGTGATAAGTTAACAATTTTGAGCATACGAAACAAAAAGAGTGACAACCCACGTATGCGTGATCTAGCATCTGATTAAGGGTTCCTGACAAGTGGGAGCTAACCTAGTTGTCGTATATAACAGTGTGATTTTCCCCTATGCACAACTGTACCTAATCCAACTGTGTAATGACATTGACCACTCCTCGATCAGGTCCCACACCAGAACCTCAGGAGCTGTCACGGAATTGCAGCTTCGTTTAACAGCTCCTGTGGTTATGGTGTGCCACTGGCTTAAAGAGCAGAGTCTGTTGTCTAAATGAACATCAAGTAAATGAATAATCCTGGGAATTTAAAAAGAGGCATAATATAGGGATGGTATATAAAGAAAGGGAGACAAGATGGGGATGGAATGCATGAAACATAAGGTTGACGAACATATTGGAGCATGCTGACACCCATCACTATATTGTTGCCTGGTGTGCCACTCTTAAACTCCATTTGGACTCCATGACGGTGTTGGTTACTCAGTAGCAACTTTTTCTTAATAGTTTCTCCAGTATAAGAGCTACACAAGCTCTTTTTTTTCTAAGCTATAGGTCCTGACATATTAATGTTTAATACAGCAAAATTCCATGTATGTTTGTGCAGCGTTGGGACAATCTTAGTGATTCCAGCTGCTGTTCTGGTGGACTGGTTATTACAGGGGTTCATCCTTCAATTAGCAGCCGCTTTTGGAGTCGTCTTCATCATCATAGGGTTCATTGGGTTCCTCGCCTCGGAGATTGTCGCCTTGAAAACCAAGGGAAAGGTATGTGGCCTCAGAATTAAGGCTGGACGTAGTATTGCCCCGTTGCTCCCTGCTGCATCACGTCGTGTCACGAAGATAGTCTATCCTCTTGAGGCAGCAATGTGGTATGGTGGGACAAGGGCAATGGCTGACGTATTGTGAACCAAACTGAACAAACACCACTGCAGCTGCATGTATGGTGCAACTGTAGATGGGGGGAAACACTTTCATCCAGACTTTTAATTGCAAGTTGCTATTCTACCCATGGTCTCAATTGCCCTCTGAAGTGTGCATAAAAATTTAATGCTCAGTTAAATATTGTTCCCAGGTTTTGATTGTGCATGATAATGTAACTTGGAAAGCTCTGCATGATCTGTACTCTGCCGGATATGTGACACCATATTTAGAGGTGTAGGTACCTACTAAGTTCACGTTCACCTGAGCCCCGGAAGTGGCTGTGTAAACTGTTTATACTGGCACCACATACTTTACTTATGTCATACTTTTCTTATGGGACATACGTACAGCTAGCTTATGACTGGCGAGGTTTTGAACCAGAACGGGAAAGTTGCGAGGACTCCAATGGTGTTTGCGTTTTTACAATTGACTATTTTTCGCGGGCTCAGGTGAAGTGAAATAGACTTTAGTATGGGGCAAAACGGAGCGTCCTCAGAAGGTTCACTGTATTGTATGTGGCACAGGAGGGAGAGAGGGTGAGAAGTGATGGACGCCACTTACAGTCCGCGGTGTGTCCCTACAAGGAGGGAGAGGGTGGGATGTGGGAGGAGGGGGAGGAGGGGGAGAGCAGGGAGGAGGAGACAAGCCTACTGCTGAGGTCGCGATGCAGGAAACAGTTTCGAAGAACACTCCTCAAATACCTCTTTTAATGTCTCATCTCCTTAGCTACACAACTTTTGTATACATCTATTTGTACAGAGGGTTTTGATAGAGACACTGAACACAGGGCATTGTCTGTACTACCGTCTGGTGTATGTTTGTATGTCTATACTTTGATACCGGACATGTAGAGGCACTATTATTCAGCACTGTTATTATACAATCACTGTTTTCTTCCATCCTCTTACATTATGTTGGATAATGTGTGGAGGCAGTGCGCAAGACAGTGTTTGTGATATACAATCTGAAACTATGAATTCACTGAAAGAGTGTGTGGACAATGTATACAGTGTGGTACATGGACGTACGCACTACTACACCTCCTTTGGTATGTTCTGCATGCAGTAGTACAACTGACATTTGCCATATTGAAGTGCAATACAGTACACTGTCTGCCGTTACTTTTGACAAGTGAAAACACAAGTATCAACGATTGCATCATCAATTGTACCACAATGAAAGGTTCTCTGTCAGTCACGGTGCTATAGTCTAGGAGGCAGGTGATGACGGTAGTGCTCTCCGAACCCACTCCAGTGGTTGCTGCCTCACATGTGGCGATGGTGTCCCCGCAGAGGAGGGTGGCAGGTATTTGAGAGGCACCTGTGGCTAGAGGCGTGGCTGGACACTCCGGCCGTTCTCACTGGCTCTCCTTCACGAACCACGCCACGGCAGGAGCCGCTCTCATTTGAATCTGCCACACCTGATTCTGGCAGAATTGCCATACTGTACCGCCCACACCCCGTACAACTCTGCTGCAATGTCATTCTATGCTCTAATTGTGGGCTTCTGGTTTGGCCCCATAGACCGCTGGGCT